GGCCTCACCTTCCCTGAGACGCAGAAAGGAATGGGATAGGTAGGGGTTAGTGGGGGGCAGGGGAGGAGGGGAGGGAGAGGGAACTGGGATTGACATGTAAAACAATCTTGTTTCTAAGTTAAATTAAAAAATGGGAAAAAATTGAAAAAAAGAAAGAAAGAAAATATGTTGCTGGGCAGTAGTGGCACATCTTTAATCCAGAGGCAGACAGATCTCTGTGAGTCTGAGGTCAGTCTGGTCCACAGAGAGAGTTCCAGGACTGCCAGGACCACACAGAGAAGCCCTGTTTCAAAAAACAAGCAAAGGGTACTACTAGCTGCTCTTCCAGAGGACCTGGTTTCAATTCCCTGCACCCACATGTATGGCTCACACCATCTGTAACTAGCTACAGATGCAGGGGAATTGATACCTTCTTCTGGCCTCCAAGGTTACTAGGTTTGCATGTAATGTACAGACATACATGCAGGCAAAACTCATTCATATGTTAGGATGGAGGTTTTGGGACAAAAAGATCCTCCCCACACCAATCCAGACAGAAGCCAGGGCTTGCAGAAGTCCCAGCAAAACAGACAATTAGTTCTGGTTCTGGATTCCAAAGTGACGACTGGACTTAGGACATACCTACAGGACCCCCAAGCCCAGACATTTCTGCAGTACCTGTGAAGTACATCACTGCCTCCCACCCCCTCCCACAAAAAGCCACCAACCTAGTTTAGCCTTGGGACTTCATGGACCTCCTACTATGAGACAACTTGCCCAGGAGTGACTAATTCCTTCATAAACCTGCCTTTTACCTTTTTTGTTTTGTTTTAAAGATTTTATTTATTTATTATGTATATAACATTCTGCTTCCATGTATATCTGCACTCCAGAAGAGGGCACCAGATCTCATAACGGATGGTTGTGAGCCACCATGTGGTTGCTGGGAATTGAACCCAGGACCTCTGGAAGGGCAGACGGTGCTCTTAACCTCTGAGCCATCTCTCCAGCCCTGTTTTTTTGTTTTTTGAGACAGGATTTCTCTGTGTAGCTTTGGAGCCTGTCCTGGAGCAGACTGTAGATCTGTAGAGCAGACTATCCGGGAACTAAAAGAGATCTGCCAGCCTCTACCGCTAGGGTGCTGGCATTAAAGGTCTACCACCACTCCTGGTAAGGGTGAAGGGTTACTTACAGGAGTTGAAATGACTCAAAGACACCGGTATCACAAAAGCCTATCTCAGTATGGGAGACAGATCACAAAATCTGGGAACTTGGAGCACACTGCACAGCCTTCTGGGAAAAAGGGAGAGAAAAGACAATTCAGGGATTGGCAACATATCTCAGTGGTGGAAGAGTGCTTGGATAGTTTATGTGAGGCGCCTGGTTCCATTCCCAGCTCCATGAGTGAATGAGTTCACAGACACAATTATGGAAGTTTCTCAAAAACAGTTAGCATTTACTTAGTAAATACTGAGAGCTCAATGTGTGCCAAATAAAGCCACTTCATTGTAATTACATCCCAGCTCAGAGCTTTTACAGAATAGAGATAGTATATGACACGGAAACAGAAAGAAGTCAGTTCCAGGAATAGGAAATTTAGGGATGGAGACACTAACATGCTTTGCAGCAACAGGACTGTTGAATGTTGTCTGGAAGAAAGATGGGGCCAGTGGAGGGAGTTGGGAGTCACCTGGTAGCAAGCTTTGAATGACATGCAAGGGAGGTTGGGATTTACTCTGAAGGCAGTTTAGTCATTAGTTACTAAACTAATCAGGAAAATTGTTTTGGAGACTTTCTAAGGGTAACTGCAGAGGGTAAATAAATGAATCAGGAAAATACCAAATACTTGGAAACCAGTTAGATCTTACAGGGCTGGTGGGCCAGGGATGCTCAGCTATAATCCCAGAATTTGAGAGTGGAGGCAGGAAGGCCAGGAATTGAAGGCCATTCTCAGCAACACAAGATTGAGACCAACCTATGCTACAAGATCCTGTCTCAAAAAAAAAAAAAAAAAAAAAAAAAAAAAAAAAAAAAAAAAAAAACCACAAAACAAGACAGATTTTACATGACTCGGAGCAAGAAAAGAAGGATGTGAAAGAGATGTGCCGAGCAAATAAAAATGGAGGCTGTTTTCAGAACACCCTAGGAGTCCAGTGAATAAGACAGTTTGTTCACTGGGTGCCTTCTGGCTTTAGCGTGGATGCTTCACTCACTGGGAGATAAACTATGTGAGGTGACTGTCAGTGTGACAGCTATAAGGGGAAAGGTTTCACCAATGCAAGTGTCAAAGCGCTGAAGGAAAAGGTCATCTGGCAGTCAGGAGCCAAGGAATACCATAAAGTCACACTGCACAACAAAACAGATTTATTGGGAAAGATACAAGAGGGTAGCTACCTGTGCTTGGTGAGAAGCAGGTAAGAACCCAGCAGGAGACAGGCTTTATACGTCCCCCTTCCATTCCACACCTGAGTGGCCTGATCTGGGGCAAGCTCTGGGATTGGTGGGATTTTGTGACCTCATCTTGGGCTTTTTCTTTTTTTCCCTAGGGCAGAGCTTGGCTGCCTGCTTCTCCAGGGGTTAGAGAGGTTAGGAGCACTGGTTGCTCTTCCAAAGGTCCTGAGTTCAATTCCATTTGTAATGAGATATGGTGACTCCTTCTGTCGTGCAGGCATACATGCAGACCGAACACTGTATTCATAATAAATAAATAAATCTTTTTTAAGAGAAACAGACATTTTAGCCTAGAATAAGGGGTACTCCAGCCTAGAGTAGTCTGGGGTGGGGGCTTACAATCTTGAAGAGGAAGATGTTGGATTCCGTTTCACAAGCCAAGTTCAAGTGGGAAATGAACGTTTGGTGGTTGATGGTTGAGACTAGCAGGCAAAGACGTTCATAAACCAAATTGCAGATGCCCAGGAAGTTCATAGTAATTGGGGCAGACTGTGTGAACTACTTTGAGCAACTTTGGAACAAGTGAGGAAACACATTCCTAGGGTGGCATATGACATATGAGAATTCTTTTTTTCTTTTTAATATATGTTATGTTCATTGGTGTTTTGCCTGCATGTATGTCTGTGTGAGGGTGTCAGAAGCCCTGGAACTGGAGTTACAGACAGGTGTGAGCAGCCATGTGGGTGCTGGGAATTGAACCAGAGTCCCCTATTAAAACAGTCAGTGCTCTTACCGGCTGAGCCATCTCTCCAGCCCCGACATACAAGGTCGTTAGAACAGGATTCAATTAAGCATTAAAATTTAAGGAATTACATACTACCAAGCCAGGAGTCCAGTGAATAAGACAGTTTGTTCACTGGGTGCCTTCTGGCTTTAGCGTGGATGCTTCACTCACTGGGAGATAAACTATGTGAGGTGACTGTCAGTGTGACAGCTATAAGGGGAAAGGTTTCACCAATGCAAGTGTCAAAGCGCTGAAGGAAAAGGTCATCTGGCAGTCAGGAGCCAAGGAATACCATAAAGTCACACTGCACAACAAAACAGATTTATTGGGAAAGATACAAGAGGGTAGCTACCTGTGCTTGGTGAGAAGCAGGTAAGAACCCAGCAGGAGACAGGCTTTATACGTCCCCCTTCCATTCCACACCTGAGTGGCCTGATCTGGGGCAAGCTCTGGGATTGGTGGGATTTTGTGACCTCATCTTGGGCTTTTTCTTTTTTTCCCTAGGGCAGAGCTTGGCTGCCTGCTTCTCCAGGGGTTAGAGAGGTTAGGAGCACTGGTTGCTCTTCCAAAGGTCCTGAGTTCAATTCCATTTGTAATGAGATATGGTGACTCCTTCTGTCGTGCAGGCATACATGCAGACCGAACACTGTATTCATAATAAATAAATAAATCTTTTTTAAGAGAAACAGACATTTTAGCCTAGAATAAGGGGTACTCCAGCCTAGAGTAGTCTGGGGTGGGGGCTTACAATCTTGAAGAGGAAGATGTTGGATTCCGTTTCACAAGCCAAGTTCAAGTGGGAAATGAACGTTTGGTGGTTGATGGTTGAGACTAGCAGGCAAAGACGTTCATAAACCAAATTGCAGATGCCCAGGAAGTTCATAGTAATTGGGGCAGACTGTGTGAACTACTTTGAGCAACTTTGGAACAAGTGAGGAAACACATTCCTAGGGTGGCATATGACATATGAGAATTCTTTTTTTCTTTTTAATATATGTTATGTTCATTGGTGTTTTGCCTGCATGTATGTCTGTGTGAGGGTGTCAGAAGCCCTGGAACTGGAGTTACAGACAGGTGTGAGCAGCCATGTGGGTGCTGGGAATTGAACCAGAGTCCCCTATTAAAACAGTCAGTGCTCTTACCGGCTGAGCCATCTCTCCAGCCCCGACATACAAGGTCGTTAGAACAGGATTCAATTAAGCATTAAAATTTAAGGAATTACATACTACCAAGCCAATGTTGGGAAAAGTGGCTTACAAAGAATATTCTACTTCGGAGCACTTTTAAAGATTAAGAATTACCACCAGCAAGTCAACACTTCTGTGGGGTGACTGTAACTAGATCACAATCACTTAGACCAAGTGTTTCCCTGCAGGCTTGCTGGATGCTCACTCCGCTGCTTAACATCCCTGTAGCCTTCCTCAGTGGTCCTCTTTTCTTCCAAACCGAATCTTTCTCGCGTGTAAAATGCCAATAATGCTAAACCACAAAACGTCAACGTGAGGATTCAGTAAGGTCGTTAACACAAAGTTCGGGGATACACTGTGCACCGTGTAATTACCAGTTCTGATTTGTTACGTTGTCTAACTGGGATTTTGTCAACGCCTAGAGAGTGCGTAGTCTGAGGTCCTAACTGGCGTGGATCCTGTCTCGTGTATGCGCACTTAGTTCTTTGACACTCTGCAGAACATCTGGGATGCTACTGATTCTTGCCAGGTTTTCCGGGAGCGCGTGGGAGGGGCGAAGTAGTGAATAGTCTGCGCAGCCGCAGAACGGTTGCAGTAGCGCCTACGACCTCTAGAGGGGCCCGAGAGTCCTCGACTTCGCCCCGCCTCGTCCGTCCCGCCCCGGAGGGTCAGAGGTCAGTGGGTGGAGACAAACCGGCTGGTGGTGGAGGTGATCGCGGGTCCTGGGTCGTCTATCTATGGCGCCACCGCAGCGATGTCCTCTGTGTCGCCAAACTTTCTTCTGTGGTCGCGGACACGTCTACAGCCGCAAGCACCAGCGGCAGCTGAAGGAGGCTCTGGAGCGGCTTTTACCGCAGGTGCGGAGGCTGGGGAAGGCCGGGAATGCGAGCCGGGCAGCGAGAATCCTTAGGCTGTGGTTTCAGAGCCCTAGCTGGTTTCTGTCTTGCAGGTAGAAGCCGCTCGCAAGGCCGTTCGTGCCGCCCAGGTAGAACGCTATGTCCCCGAGCACGATCGGTGCTGCTGGTGTCCGTGCTGTGGCTGCGAAGTACGAAAACACCTGAGCCACGGAAACCTGACAGTGCTGCACGGAGGTCTGCTGGAACATCTGGCCAGGTGACAGCTGAGGAACACCCACCTCCCCGGTACACACAGAGATGTACACACGTGTGGGATGGAAAGTTGGAACTGAGGAGAGGAAGGTCGCTTTTGTGACTTAATTGGGGTAGATGGATTGAATTACCTTGCCAATCTGGAGCGTAGGGGTCTTAAGCACTCACTACCATGGTCTTGTTAGAAAAGCCAACTTGCCCTCCTCCCACCACCTCCCACTCGGAATTCCGAGATTGACATCTTAAGGAGGCTGGTAATAAAGCCAACTTGCCCTCCTCCCACCACCTCCCACTCGGAATTCCGAGATTGAGATCTTAAGGAGGCTGGTAATAAATAATATTTTTCTCTCTGTCTTGTCCAAGGAAGCAACCCAGATGCTAGTCTGCATTAGTTGCCTAATGCTCTGATACTCAGTGCTATTTTACTGTCTTAATGTCTAGCTAAGACTACTATTCCTCTCCATCCTCAGCCCAGAGCATAAGAAAGCCACCAATAAATTCTGGTGGGAGAACAAGGCCAATGCCCAAATGAAAGAGAAGTTTCTGATCTCCCCCCAGGATTATGCGCGGTAAGTGACCTGTTGTAAGACCGGAAGTAGCAAAGTGAACTCTCCAGATCTTTGTCAGGCACAACAGCTTCTTCCTTTTGGAAAGTCCCAAGGGAGTGTGATAGCTTACAACTGTATCCAGGACTAGGGAGGCTGAGAGTAGATTCTTGAGAGTTCAAAGCCAGCCTAGGCTACAAGAGTGAGACCTTATCTCAAAACAAGAACAAATTTGGGAAGTTCAGAGTCAAGTATGTTGGTGCACACTCATATTCCAGTACCCAGCTGAATCAGAAGAATCTCAAGTTCCAGGACAGCCCAAGCTGCATGTCTCAACACACCCAAAATAAGTAAATGTGTTGGGAAGTCCAGCAGGGATGTCATTATTATCTACTGCTTTCATAGCACTTTTTATTATTATGCCCCCACACACCAAATTCTGTATTGAATGTGCACATACAAAAAATGTGGTGAGTGGGTATGGTCCCTTAGGCCTATAGTCCCTGCTGTTTGGAAGACTGAGACAAGAGGATTTCTGGCCTCAGAGTCCAGAAGAGGGCATCTGATCCTCTGGAACTAGTCATAGATGGTTGTGAGCTGTCATGTGGCACTTTAAACCTGGGTCTCTGAGAGTGGCTAGTCTTTTAACCTCTGAACCATCTCTTCAGCCTCCTGCATAGGATCTTTGATTAGTGAATGAAGATATGTAGAAACTTATTATTGAAGGTAATAATGAATTCTTTTTCTTTTAGGAGACAGAGTTTCTTTATGTAGTCCTGGAACTCACTCTACAGACAGGCTCGCCTTGATCTGCCTGCCTCTGCCTCTGCCTCCTGAGTACAGGGACTAAAGGCGTGCCTTACTGTCTAACTTAAAAAAAAAAAAAAGCAAGGTATAAAAGAGTGTACAAAGGGGGTGGAGAGATGGCTCAGCAGTTAAGAGTACTGGTTGCTCTTCCAGAGGTCCTGAGTTCAATTCCCAGCAACCACATGGTGGCTCACAACCATCTGTAATGAGATCTGGTGCCCTCTTCTGGCCTGCAGGGATTCATGCAGGCAGAACACTGTATTCACAATGAATAAATCTTTTTTTTTTACTTATTATTATTATTATTATTAATTCAAGTTAGGGAATAGGCTTGTTTCACATGTAAGTCCCCTCTCCCTCCCCTCACCCCCATTCCTTCTCCCCCACACAATGAATAAATCTTAAAAAAAAAAAGAGTGTACAAATGCAGATTATAGGTGTACACCTATAATCCATCACCAAGAAGGCTAAAACTGGAGGATTGCCTAGCCTTGCTTGATTTAAGACAGGATCTCACTATGTAATCCATGCTAGCCTCAAAGTCAAGATCTTCTTGCCTCCACTGTCCCAGTGGTGGTATTAGTTAAGACTTACTTCTATTTTATGTGTAGGAGTGATGGGCTTGGTATTGTATGCATATATGCTATGAACATGCCATGCCTGCAAAGGCCAGAAGACCATGTCAGATGCCGTAGAACTAGAGTTACACAGTTGTGAGCCACCATGTAGGTATTAAAGACCAAAACCAGGTCTTCTCCAAGAGCATCAAGTACTGTTGACCTCTGAGCCATCTCTCCAGCCCTTATTTTTAATAATGTCAGGAGAGGGGAGGGATGGGTTGTGAATACAGGTGTTTACCTGGAATTACAGGTGGTAATGAGCAGCCCCACATTACGTGTGTTGGAAACTGAGCTTGGGTTGTATGCAAGAATGGTATATGCTCTTAACTCCTGAGCCATCTCTCCAAGCCAATAGTGCTATTTTATTTTTAAAAAGGAGGGGGCTGTGTCGTAATGGCACATGCCTCTAATCCCAGCACTCAGGAGGCAAGGCAGGTGGATCTCTGAATTTGAGGCTAGCCTGGTCTACAGAGGGAATTCCAAGCCAAAACTACACAGAGAAAGCCTTTCTCAAAAAAAAAAAAAAAATTATTTTGTGTTTGTGTGTATGTGTGTGTCTGTGTCTGTTGGGTATATGCGCATGAGTGTTGCTGCACAAGGAGGCCAAAAGCATCAAATCCCCCTGGATCTGGAGTTACAGGTGGTTGCCAGCTGCCCAACATGGATGCTGAGAACTAAGGGAGTCCACTGAGAGAGTAGTATGTGCTTTTTTAAAAAAAATTATGCGTATGGGTTTTTCCTAGCTGTGTGTATGTTTACCATTTGTGTATCCGATGCCCTCTCAAGCTAGAAGAGGGCATTAGATCCCCTGGAACTGGAGTTGATAGTCTCCATGGGCCACCATGTTGGTGCTGGGCCTCAAACCAGAGTTCTATAGAAGAGCAGCCAATGCTCTTAATCATGGAGGCATCTCTCCAGCCCCACTTTTTAAGTATTGTAATATAAAACAAGTACAAATATGTGCCTGGGGACCAGAGTTTTCACTCTGGCAGAAGGAAGATACAGGTAAAAAGTAGAGGGATTTAAATAGGAAAATATCCTATGAATCCTTTAGGTATAAAGGCTAAGTGGTCAAGAGTGGCCTTGGGAACAGCCTAAGTGCTGGCAGTTAATGTACCTTCTAAGGAACAATGGGAGATGAGCAGTTAATATTCCTATCGGAAACTGTTAACCTGAATCTCACTACTGGGTAACTGTAGGGCCTGGAGATGATGGCTCAGCAGTTAAGGGAACTTGTTGCTCTTGCAGAAGACTTGAGCTCAGTTTTCAGCACCCACTAGTTGTGCAACTTAGAACCAGCGCCAAGGGATCCAACACCCTCTTTTGGTCTCTGAGGAAACTAGACATGCATATAATGTACAGAAGTATATGCAAGCAAAACACCTGTACTCGTAAAAATTTAAAAAGTCTGCTGGCCAGTGTGGTGCATGTCTTTAATCCCAGCACTCAGGAGCAGAGGCAAATGGATCTCTGTGAATTCGAGGCCAGCCTGCTCTACAGAGTGAGATCCAGGACAGCCAGTGCTACACAGAGAAACCCTGTCTCTAGAAACCAAAACAAATAAACAAGTGTTTAAAAAGAAAATGTAGGATGAATAGTGGGGGGCTGGCATGACAGCGTTACCAGTGTACCCAGGTGAGAGGTACAGGTGCTCATTTTATCAGTTTTGTGAGTTGCAAATTCTCAAAATTAAACGGAGCATGATAATCTGTAATTCCTGTAATCTCAGAACTCACATGGCGAAAGTGGGGACATTCAGACTGTCTCAGCTTTTTTCCCCTCAGAATTAAAAGCTATTTACTGAAGTGTTTTTTACAACTAGTGGGGCTGGGGTTCTAGGCTAATTTATGTCTTTCCAATTTTTTGTTGTTTTGTTTTTGTTTTTTCCTGAGACATGGTTTCTTTGTATAATAGTCCTGGCTCTCTTGAAATTCACTTTGTAGACCAGGCTGGCCTTGAACTCACAGAGATCCACCTGCCTCTGCCTCCTGAGTGCAGGGACTAAAGGCATGTGCCACCACCGCCTGGCTCCAGTATTTTTTTTTAAAGATTTATTTATTTGCTATTTATACAGTGTTCAGCCTGCACCCCAGAAGAGGGCACCAGATCTCATTCTAGGTGGTTGTGAGCCACCATGTGGTTGCTAGGAATTGAACTCAGGACCTCTGGAAGAGCAGCCAGTGTGCTCTTAACCTCTGAGCCATCTCTCCAGCTCCCAGTATTTTTATAATTCCTTTATTTTTAGGTTTAAGAAATCTATGGTGAAGAGCCTGGATTCCTATGAGGAAAAAGAGGATGAGGTGATTAAAGAGGTAGGAAGAAAGACTTCTGAAAAGGACCTTTCCCCATGATCCTGAACTGCCCTAAGCATTCTCTCCCCCACAGATGGCAGCTCAGATCCGTGAGATAGAACAGAGTCGGCAGGAAGTGGTCAGATCTGTCTTAGAGGTTGGTTTCCCTCGGCGGACCCAGAGCAGTATCCAAATCTACTGATGCCTGGCTTCCCCCTGTCCAGCATTTCAACATCAGCTCTTCTCAGAACTACTGGGTCATACAAGTCCATGTGCCTCAATGGAGATGTGGGCAGGGCTGGGAGGTGGCAAAATGGGTAGTACCCTCCATAAGATACTGGGGTCTGGAGTGTGGGGGCATGGTCCAGGCAGGCTCTTAAGCACCTTAGACACATTTATTTTTCCTGAATCAAACTCAGCCTCAGGCAGAGCCAGATCCAGATGAGGGCTCTTCGGCACTGGGAAGCTGGGAAGCAGCTAACGGGTAAGTTATCAGGGAACTGTTGAGTTGGATGCTGGAAAATGGGGACGGCTCTAATCTTTGCCATCCTCACTGCTCAAGGACCTCATCTGCCAGCCTGGCTCCCCTGTCTTTCAGCCATGTGGCCTCCAGCTCACAGCAGGTATCACACTTGGACCCACAACGTGTTCCAGAGCTTGACTGGATGGAGACAGGACAGCATTTAACATTCATTGGCCATCAGGTATGGTACAATGGACAAGCAAACTGGAAGGGGGTCACTGACCCCTCAAGTCCCAAGAGGGTCCATTCTACGTATTCTAGCCATCTGCCCTCCTGTGGATTTTCCCTTACTACCCTTCTGTGGTAGTATTACTAGACTATGCAGCCTTTCAGGGTGACCTTTATTCCTAACAGCTTCCACTCTGGAATACCAGCCTCACAACCTAATCTTGATATAGGGTATCCACACTTGGGTACCCCTACAAGCATCTGAAATTATGACCCTCTACCCTGCTATTGAATCCTAGCACCCCCTTCTATTTCCCAAATTGCTGTGTAACTATTGATTGTACCTCCTGTTTACTTCAATCCCACCTTGGGAAGGTTTTTTAGTGACTGGAGTTCAGAATATTGTATCTCATGGTTTTCTTAACACTTTTTTCTCCCCATTTTTAACCACAGGATACACCTGGAGTTGGTAATATCCATTCAGGCAAGTTTCTGACCTGTGTTTCTAGACCATTTTGGGCTTGCTGTTCAGACAGGGTCTCAATTTGTAACCATGACTGGGGATGGCTTACAATTCGAGATTTGCGTGTCTCTGCCTCCTGAGTGCTGGGATTAAAGGCCTGCACCACCAACACCCAGCCAAAAACCCCAGCTTTTATTTTTGAGCACTCCTGGCTGGAACATGTTCCATAGTAAAGGGCTTTGCTCTGTCTTAGGTGCCACACCTCCATGGATGATCCAAGAGGAAGAACATAGCTCTGGAAACCTACCAATAGGACCTTCCTATGAAGAATTTCTTAAAGAAAGTAAGTACCTTAACTTCACATTTCCTAAGCTGGCCAAAATGCAGTAGCAGTCAATAGACCCAACCACTTAGCAGTAGTCTGATACAATACTAATTGAGATCAGTCAGATCAACCCATTTCCTTTTTTTGGTTTTTCGAGACAGGGTTTCTTTGTGTAGCTATCCTGGCACTCGCTCTGGAGACCAGGCAGGCCTCGAACTCACAGAGATCCACCTACCTCTGCCTCCCGAGAGTTGGGATTAAAGGCCAGTGCCATCAACTCCTGGCCTCAACCTATTTCTTATTTGCAGAAGAAAAACAAAAACTGAAGAAACTGCCCCCAGAACGAGTTGGGGCCAACTTTGACCACAGTTCCAACACTAGTGCAGGCTGGCTGCCTTCTTTTGGCAGAGTATGGAATAATGGTCGCCGCTGGCAATCCAGGTATGTGTCTAATCAGCCATGCCCCATATTTTCATTATTAACCTTGCTAATTCTGCTGGGCAGTGGCGGCACAAGCCTTTAGTCCTAGCACCTGTGAGGCAGAGACCGCTGATCTCTGTGTGAGTTCCCAACCTGGTCTAAAAGAGCTAGTTCCAGGACAGCCTCCAAAAGGCACAGAGAAACCCTGTCCCAGGTGTGTGGGGGAGGACTCTTGCTAATTCTTCATTTCCTTTCAGGCATCAATTCAAAACTGAAGCTGCAACAAGAAGCAAGCAGTCACATAAAGGAAAAAGCTGAAAGTTCCCAGCCTGATATTATCTCATGGCCAACAAACCCATTCCAACTGTTATCCCTAAAACCAAATCCTCTCCAGTTGCCTTTATTAGTAAGATAAATAGAAGAACCCATTCATCTGATTTAATAAAGTTTTATTTTTCCAAATGCACAGCTGATTGAACCTGCAATGAGAGAGACAATTAAAGTCAGAATCATTTCTCAGAGGGAATACACAGTATTTCAAAGCCAAGAGACCTTTGGGTTCTCACCTGTTTATGCATCTTCACCAGCAGCTGGGGCATCTCCACCCTTTGTGTTTCTGGTGTAAATTACTTGGGCTCTGTGCTTTGAAACCAGCTTGATAAGCCCTAGAGAGGAATGGCAAGGTTTTTGTGTTTGAAGGTCTTGCCTGCATGAATGTATGTGCACATGTGTGTGACTGATGTCTGAGAAGGCCGCCGATGATGCTCTGCAACAGTTTTGAGCCATCTCTCCAGCCCAAAGGCTATATGATTTTTTTTTAAGAGAATTACTTAACAATTAGATACCCCCCAGCAGGGTGGTGGTGGTGGTGAACGCCTGTAATCTCAACACTTGGGAGGCAGATGAACCTGATTTCAAGATCAGCCTGGTCTACAGAGTGAGTTCCAGAACAGCCAAGGCTGTACAGAGAAACTTATCTTGAACAAAAACAACGAAAAACCCACTCACAGCCGGATCTCTGTGAGTTCGAGGCCAGCCCTGGTCTCCAGAGCGACTGCCAGGATAGGCCCCATAACTACACAGAGAAACCCTGTCTGGAGGAATGGGGACACCCACTCACCAAAAACATAGGACATTATCTCTTACCTTTACTAAGTAGCTCCTGAAGGGCTGCCCTGGCCAAGGAACCTCGAATCTTCAGTCTCTCAGAGACCACAGCTGGAGTAATAAGCTTATAATTGGGCACTTCCTTACAGAGTTTGTCGTATGTAGCTTTGTCAAACAGGACTAGATTGTTGAGCTTGTCCCGAACTTTGCCTTTGGACCACTTCTGCTCATAAGAACAAGTAAGCACTAGTCAGGAATTCTGGCAGAACCATCCTTTCCCAAATAACATAAGTCTGGGAAAACCCTCCAGTTATCATCTCAGGTAAATTAAGGACATCAAACTACGTGACACAGCTTTAGAGCCTGGTAACAGAAAATGTGACAGCAGCTGTTAGAATGCTGTGGCTTGAACCCAGTGGACAACCTAGGGGTCGAAAATCAGATACCTACAAAGTTATGCGGGTCAGTGGTGGCGTACACCTTTAATCCTATCACTTGGGAGGCGGATCTCTGTGAATTCGAGCCCAGGCTGGTCTACAGAGTGAGTTCCGGGCCAGCCAGGGGTGTAACATAGAGAAACCTTGTCTCAAAAAAACCTCAAAAACCAACCAACCAAAACCTACAGTTATGAGGTATAACGAAATAATCTTATGGTTGGGGGTTACCGTAACATGAACGGTAGTGAATAGAGTGTCGCAGCACTAGGAAAGCGGAGAACCACTGTTTTAAAGGACTATGGTACCACCATATTCTTGAAATAAAAAGAATGAGACAGAACAAAGTCAACACTATGATTTTAAAATTAACGATCTGAAGAAAAAAAAATCAGAGCACAGATTCACGAAAGGTCTCCCCCAGAATCTCCCTCTATTACAAATGGCCATCCCCTACCTTCTTTTTGGCCTTGCCTCCAGACTTATTTACTGGGTCTTTATCTTTCTTTGCCGACTTCCCGGCATCTTTCTTCTTCTTGTCATCCTTAGGCGGCTGTGGGAAGAAAGCGGGAGTGCAGGATGGTCACAGGGTGGCCCCCGTCTCTCCGATTGCTCTATTTCACCCACCCATGGCGGCGCGGCCGGAGCACATGGACGACAGTGCCCGCGGCAGCACTGAGACGCAGCCCCGGGGATCACGAAGCGCTCCGGGCAGCGCTGCCTTCACCGTCCCCCAGCACCGCTCGGCCCTCTGAACCCCGCTGCTCAGCACCGGCGAGCCTCACCATGATGAAGCTCGGAGAGTGGCGACGACCACTGCAGCCTCCACTAAGATGTCGGAAAAAAAGGAAGGCCGGATCGCTAACAATCCCAGAAAGCTCAGCCTCCAGGAAGTACTTCCGGGGCAAGAGGTGGGGCCACACTTTAACAAACCCCGCCTCACCCTCCTGTGAGAGACGGAATGGGAGGAGTGGCTTCCGACCTGCGAGCCACGCCCCCTAGGCGCTGGCTGTGAACTGCTGGACTGGGCTGCGGCTCGCCCCACAGCCGCTAATGCTCTCCTCTGGCACCGAGAAACAGTGAACCCGTTCCCAGGATTTTTTTTCCTTCGAATTTTGGGGGTTTGGTCTGCGCGTGCGCTTCAGGCGGGGCGGGGTGGAGGAGCATAGGCGGGGCCGTGACAGCAGTTCCGGGGCTGGAACGTCGGAAAGAGGCCGGATCGCAGCGCCTCAGCGGCAGCGCAGAGATGGCGATCTTTAGTGTGTACGTGGTGAACAAAGCCGGCGGCCTGATTTACCAGTGGGACAGCTACTCGCCACGGGCTGAGGCCGAGAAGACTTTCAGTTACCCGCTGGACCTGCTGCTGAAACTGCACGACGAGCGGGTGCTGGTGGCCTTCGGCCAGCGCGACGGCATCCGGGGTGGGCCGGGCTCGAGGGCGGGGCCGGCTCTGCGGAAGTGGGCTGGAGGGAGGGAGGGTGCAGGATCGGGAGTCGGAGTCAAAGGTGGGGTGGACCCGAGCCTCTCTGACGCTCAGGCTCTCTTCTGTAGTGGGTCACGCAGTCCTGGCCATCAATGGCATGGATGTGAATGGCAAGTACACGGCCGACGGGAAAGAAGTGCTGGAGTATCTGGGTAACTCTGCCAATTACCCGGTGTCCATTCGATTCGGCCGGCCCCGCCTTACCTCTAACGAGAAGCTCATGCTGGCTTCCATGTTCCACTCGTAAGTCCCTTCCCCGCCCCCCCTTAAACTTTTACTCCCCAGAACCTACCACTAGGATGGCTAAATTGTTTTCTGAGTACTGACAATCAGTTTGTACTTCTCAAGTGGCTGAGTTCTGGTGTCATGAAGAAATAACTGGTAGAATATATCCAGGTTGAGGTAGTTTAATCTTGTCTAACTCAGCTCCTCTCTTCCTCTTAGCCCTAGTTTCTTTAATCTTTAACAGAAGTAATTGAATTATTTCTTTATTGATTTTTCGAGACAAGGTTTCTCTGTGTAGCCCTGGCTGCCCTAGAACTTGCTCTGTAGACCAGGATGGCCTCCAACTCACAGAGATGCACTTGTTTCTGCCTCTGACGTGTGGAAAATAAAGGCACGGGCCACCCCTGCCCGGCTAGGTAATTGAATAAATTAAATACATGTTAAAAGTCTTCCTGTGACTCCATGTGGTGTGAGGTGTGTTGACATAGGCATAGCCATGAACTCGGAGGGTATGCACGTGTTCCCTAGCATGTTGACTTTATATAGCATTTTTAGTGTAAAATGTTTCTTATTTTTCACGGAGAGATGACTCAGTGCTTGTTGGTCTTGCAGAGAATCATCATTCACAAGTGGCTTACAACTGTTAACTCCAGTTCCAAGGGATTTGATGCCTTCTTTTAGCTTCCATGGGTATCAGGCACACATGTGGTACACACACATATAGACAGACAGACAGACAGACAGACAGACACACACACACACACACAAACGACCATAAGCTCCTTTTTATTTTGTGGCTATTGCTACATAAAGCAGCCTGCAGAGAAGGTTTAGAGATGAAGTGACTTCACTGTCACCAGGTGACTGAGTGGCCAGACTTGAGACCATAAATAAAATAAAGATCAGATAAGTCTTAGGGGAACAGTGTTTCATAGCAAAGTGTAGAGTGTACAGTGTGTAAGAAGGCACACAAATGTAAAAGAAACTTTTGATACTCCTGCTAGGTAGTTCATAGAATTTTCTCCTGACCCAGGCTGTGAAGTGAACTCCTCAGATTAGATACTTGATTGGAAAAGTTTGAGGAACACTTTTCCCTTAGACCACCTGGTACATTTCCAACTTTACCTCCCTTGCATACAGGCTCTTTGCCATTGGTTCCCAGCTGTCTCCGGAACAGGGAAGTTCAGGCATTGAGATGCTGGAAACAGACACATTTAAACTGCACTGCTTCCAAACACTGACAGGTATGTCCCTACAGAGAGGTCATAGGGATAGATGGGGCAGATGGGACCAAGGGATTGACCAGAGAAAGCTATGGTAAACAAGGACAGGAATGGTGTCAGGTTTTCCAGGGACATTTGTACAAACACATCCATTATCCAAAGCCAGTATTTAATCAGAGGCTGATTTTTGTTTACGTCACCCAGTGTGCTCAACCCTGGTTATCCTTGGTTTGGATACATTCCATATTAGGTTTCACACATTCTGGAATGTGTGTTGTTCCAAATAAAGTTTGAAAGCCAAATAGACATGGCCTTTGGATCCTGCTTGTCAATTGCTTCACTCCTTGATGCAGATAACTGAACTGCCAGAGTTTTGTCTTCTGCTTGTCCTGTTTCTGCTGAGCGATTCCAAGACTAAAAATGGCAGTTAGACCCCCAAGTCTGGTCACTCAGTCACCTGGTGACAGTGCAGTCACTTCATCTCTAGCCTCCTGTTAGCTGTTTGATGTGGCAATAGAGACAAATGGAAAATGGGCTTATGGTAGTACTTTACAAAATTGAAAGGGCTGCAAAAATAAATACAGGATGATATTTGCTGCATTTTCTGTTCTTGGGTAACTTAACTGTTCCTGGCCTTTCTCCAGGGATCAAGTTTGTGGTCCTGGCAGATCCTAGGCAAGCTGGAATAGATTCTCTTCTCCGAAAAATTTATGAGATTTACTCAGACTTTGCCCTCAAGAATCCATTCTACTCCTTGGAAATGCCTATCAGGTAGGTAGCCTGTTCCCTAGATTCTATCAAAGCTGTCTCCCGAGTCACTTAAAGTGCGACCAATGTTGCCTTTAGGTAAGAACAACAGTCACCAGTTCTATTTATCTTGAGAACACATGGTTTCGTTGTGCTTCATGTTCTTCCAATAGTTTCTACTGATTCTCCCTCTAGTCTTTGTGGCTGGAGTCTTACCTCATAATTTTTTTTGTCTTCTGGGTCTGGCCTAGATGCGAGCTGTTTGACCAAAACCTGAAGCTAGCTCTAGAGGTGGCAGAGAAGGCTGGCACTTTTGGACCTGGGTCATAGGCTGAACCAGGAGTCTGAGACATGCTGCAGAAGGGCTTTGCTGTTTCTATTCCAGTGAGGATCCTATTGCAGTAGCCCTGTTAATGTACTTGAAAATGGGAGAACACTGTGCCTGGTCATGGGGATGGATCCTGGACTAGAATGCCATGTTCTCTGCCCTTCTGTATATATCACAGTCCTATGCCCTGCTCTGTACAGATTTATTTATGGAGGAAGCTGGCTTAGCAATGCTGTAATAAACATTCCTTTGTTCTGGTGTTTGCTGTCCTAACTTGTGGTTTGGGAGAAAGGCATGGGAGGGGAAGGCAGAAATGGTAAGGGTGTTCTGCAAAGGTGATCTACTACCTTCTAGTAGAAAACAAGACAAATTGATGTGAGTTTGACTCTTGAGCCCTAGGTGCAGTCCCAGAACTGCTGATTTCCTAGGAGCCTGAGGTGTGGTGGTGGATGATGGAGCACTTATTAGCACTTAGTAACAAGCTAAGTTTTATTAAGTTTTATCTCAATATGCACTCTAACCCTAGGATGTACAAAAATTCAGCAAATTACAACACCTGTGCTTCAGAGTCCTCACGCCAGTTACTGGTGGCCTGAATTTGGATCCAGGCTTTTGACTTCCTTCATCAAGTTATTTAACCTGCCTGCAACCCAAAAGTATACAGTGTTCAGCTGAATGTTGAGCTATACTTAAAAGTCTCCATTTATACTTCTGTCTTACTCCAGAGAAAATCTTTCCTTTTGAGAAGAATACTTTCCCAAGGAAAGCTGTTTCTAGTTTATGTCTCCCTTTGAAAGGATGAGCCACTGACTGTTTAGTATCAAATCTAGTTTTATTAATCTATAACAAGTCGGCTTGCCTGCTATATTCCCCCCTTTTGTCCCAGGGTATTGATGAGAATGGTGGCTTCCTCTCTTCCCTTGGGGACTGAGGTATTGGCAATAACTCTGCTGCCTGCTAAGAAGCCTTGGGGTACAACAAACCACAGGCATTAATGTTCTGCAGCTGCAGAGACAGGTTCATCTCACTAGGAGATGGGGACAGGACAGGACCTAGGAAAGGAAGAAGGGTACAGGAGACACCCTGAATACAGGAGTTGTCTGTCTGTTAGAAGGTAGAAATTGAAGCTGATGGAGTCTAAAAACAAACATTTAAATAGAGCATAGGATGGGGAATTGGGACCTCATTAGCCACTGATAACTTGCAGCACCATGGAGGTCCAAGGAGACATTGTAGACACAGAATGGCAAAGGGTCTATGCTAACCAGAGCAGCTTCTCCTTTTTTATGCCCTGCCGGGGAGGCTGAGGTTGAGGATGCTCCATAGTGAGTACTCTCTTCACTCTGCCTTCTTGGGTACTCGGCCCATCTTGGTGCGGATATTTCGAAGCAAGAAGAAGACAAGTGTGCTGGCTATACATATCACTTCTGCCACCCAGAAGGCTGTGCTCCAGCTATAGTGTTTGGCGATGGTGCTGAAGGGTAACCCAGCCAGAAATCCGCCCACTGTTGAGGAGAGAGAAAACCTTGAGCCACATGTGAGGCTAAAGCAGGTAGGCAGTTCTGCCTCTAGCAGGCCTGAGCAAAGCAGTTCCAGGAGGCAGCTGTACCAGAAAGTACTGCTTACCATTTGCCATGAGTCCCACAATAGCATGAGAGGTGCCACACAAGTTGGGAGGTGCACTCTCATTGGCTATGACTCCAAACAAGGCAATGGGACCATAAGAAGAAAAACCAAACACAGCTCCCAACACCAGGATCCAGATCTGCAAAGGCAGGGAGAGGTAGCATTGAGAATTAGTGCCCACAGTTGCCTAAGGAGAAAAAAGTGCCTAGCCTTTAGTCAAGCTATAGTCAGTAGCCACCCTCACCCCCACACCCTGTACAGCTGATGATACAATGACAGTGAGCCAGCCGCAATGGCTTAGGTGGACAGGGGCAGGGGAGATAAGAGTCATCCCTCTGAGTTGGATGCTGGCTGTTTCAGAATTTGTACAAGCTTGGTTGGTTAGGTGCAAGACGGGTGAAACAAAAGTGAGACAGACCAGGAGGAAAACCACAGATATCTTTAAGGCACCTCATGCTCCGTAAAGCCTGTGAGCTCAGCCAGAGGATGGAGAGCAGGAGTCCAGAAAGCAACATCCTAGAGAGCAGAAGAAAAAGAAGAAAACCAGGCCCAGAGTGGAGGGGACACAAAGTACCAGAGAGAAAGTAAGGTATAAACAGACTAAAAGGAAAAGGAGCTGGCCAGGGGAGAGTGTCCTACTTTCTCTCCTTGTACCTTGCAGGCTGTCAGGCTCTTTATACTTACCTTGGGTGAGTCACTAGTCACTGTTACCCGGAAGAGGAACATGGATGCTGCCATGCCAGCCATCATGAACAGCAACAGGCCATGACGAGGGTTTCCATACACAGACAGCCCTGCCTAGGGATAGTGCCAGACACATCAGCCTTCCAAGCAAAGCAAAACATCCCCACCCCTGGACTCTGACACAGCAGGGCTATTGCTGACAGGCCTTTGGCAACCTATCACAGTTCTTGGCCCTAGACAGCTCTGGGAGGCCCTGAGAGCTACTCGGTGATCTGAGGCCAAATTCCACAACATCCCTTCCTCCACCTTGGGGCAGGCATGGGACACGTGCTAGGTAGCTGCACCCAGTCCACCCCTAGTTGTCTTGGGGTACAAAAGAAGTCTATTGAGAAATTCTGGTTCTCTTTGCCATCAGTTAAAACTTTTCCCACCAGTCTTTTCTCCACATCTCAAGCAGATAAGAGAAGCCTGGAATCATTCCTGTCTCATGTAACTTCTGTGCCAAGCAGCCCAGGCCAGGACTCCCATCTCTCTGTTGGGTAGCCCAGCCATGCAAGGAAGACGCAAAGGGCCTCTCTTCCTTAACAGTCCTTCCTGCTGACTCACCTTTGCCATGGCCCTGTCAGACAGATAGCCAGCTGCAATGCTGCCCACAAGGCCGCCAACCTCCAGAGCACTCATGTAGGAACTACCTGCATGGAGAATTGTGGGGAGGAGGGGAAAAGAATGAGAAGATGTTTCCCCACTGAGGATCTCCCACAGTGGCTTATCCCAAGATACAGAGAGCCACCTCCAAGGGTGCCCAGCCTCAGGGGAGGAGTCAAGCAGAGCCTGGATATCCCATATGCATTGGCTCCTGTTTTTCACACCCTTCCCTGTCCAAACACTCATCTTACCCACAAGGGCGGACTGCCCTCTTTCCTGGATAAGGAAGAACTGGCCCCAGTCTGTACAGCAGGTCTTTACTCCAAAGACTACAAGGTAGCCAGTGGAGAGCACCCATAGATAGGGGGACAGCAGCAGATCCTGTAGGGTGCTCTCCTCCTTTGATGAATCTGGAGGTAGGAAGAGGCCAAGTAGGATTTGGGCTCTGCTTCTGATGGCCTGCCTCCACCAGAACACCACCACCACCACCACCACCACCACCGCCACCACCATTCATTAACCAGCCGCAAGGCCAGAGTCTATGGGCACAACCAGGATTGATGTGAAGGGTAACCCCTTAAATCCCTGCTCTCCTCTCCTCTACCTTGCTGCAAAAGCCTCAGCAAATGAGAGACTGAGGACTGGTACATATAGAAGAAAGCACCCAAACCACTTAAACTTAGGTGTTATTCAGAATAAAGAGGTCTGTGCTGTCCGAGAAGGCCCAGGATGTGCTGGCTCTGACTTTCAAGAATAGAATTTTACTTCCCCACGTAACCTCCATTGCCATTCCTTCGCCTACATACATTGGCAAGCACAGTGCAAGGTTTAGGCTAGTCCTGACAAAATTGTGCCAAGTACAGGGTGAATGAAGGTGCCTTGGGAGTCAGCTTGGTAGAGGCTCACCCTTTTTGCCCTTGGAGGGGGTGGGGTCCAGATTTCGGAGTCCAACATCAGCAGGTTCATTGTGGATGAGTAGCAGGCAGAGGAAGGAGACAGCCACACACAGTGCCCCAGACAGGGCCAGTGTGCTTCGCCAGCTGTAGCTCTGGGCAAGGATTGTTGCCAAAATAGGTCCCAGACCTCCAGCCAGGTTCATGCTGGTGGACAACACAGCCCACCAAGTGCCAAACTGGGATGGCTCAAACCACTGTGAGATGGAAGGGGGCAGAATAGGGCCTTGGCTTGGCTTACAGTCCACATTGAGGGAAAAGCTCAAGTGAGGCAGACCTAGAGACTCACATTACAGGGATGAGGGAAAGAGTGCTTCTACTTGGCAGAGCCAATTCCCTCATCTGCCACCCGATCCCACCACTCTCTGTCTCCCAAAATATCCTGACAAGCAGCAGGAGCTGGCAGAGACCTCCTAAGAAACCTGATATGGGTTAGGGGTAGAGGGGGCGTGTAAGAGGGGGGTGCTCATTATGAACCCTCTGCCACTCCAGACAGGCTGGTCGATGCACTCACCTTCCTCAGGATCTTCCCACAAGGGGGCCAGCCCAGCCCCTGTGCCAGGCCATTGAGAAACCAGAGAGCAGCAAAGACTGGTACTGTGGAGCTCCAAGAGAAGACTACGTTGACCAGGCCAACCAGGAGCAGCCCAGAGGAGAAGAGCCAGCGAGCACTCATCTGATCAGATAGCACCCCACTCACAAACTTGCTGATGGCATAGGCTGCCGACTGGCTGCTGGTGATGAGCCCTGCAGCGAAGGGGAGCAGGGAGCAGGACACCTGAGGGGTTAGGGACAGGGCAGAGGCATAGGAGGGGTGGAGGAAGGCAAGGGGTCAGGTGTGTGCAGGTGCTTGGCAGGGTGAGACAGGTTTCTTCCTGGAGGAACAGAGGACCTGTGCTGCAGATTCAACACTTTCCTGCCTGTTGAGCCGTGTGTCGTAGGCCCCAGCTGACCTGGGACTTCTCAGCCTCTCAGATAATTCTATCTGCAGCTGTCCAAACTAGAAGGGTGATGTTTTCCTGCCTGGAATTTGCATTTCTCACCCCACTCTGAATGTCAAACCAAAGGCCTCAAGAAGTTCTGTTGCCCCACCATGTCTGAATGTGGAGGGAAGGGCTCTAGTTAAAGATCTTATTCTTCCTGGCAGTAGCATGGCAGGCCACATCAAATCATGGGTGCTACCTTTCTGCAGGTACAGTATGCACCCACAGGTGTGAAAACCATGCTCGGAGCCCCCCCATCCCCTCTCTGGTACATGTGGGTCACAGACATACACACCAGATAAGCAGCTAGCCTCAGTCCTTCACACACGTCCATACACATGGAGTTCAGCCTCTGCACTCGGTACACACTCGACTGACTCTACATGCATACTTCATGCTTATACACACCCCGCTCCAAACAGTGCATCTGTGCCACAGCCCACCACCCTACCCAAGGCTCACCCAAATCATCCTTGTCCAGAGCAATCTCTTCCACTAAGGATGGCATGACAAAGGAGAAGGTTTTGCGGTTGAAGTAGTACAGACTGTAGCCCCCAAACATAGCTGCAAAGATGACAGTGCGATAATAGCCATATCCTTGGGCTGCCATGGCAGAAAAAGCAGGCCCTGCAGGCCAGGTCACAATGCTTCTGACCACAGCCTCTTGACTGCTCCTGCTTGCAGCTAGTAGTGCCCAGATCTGCTGAGCTGGGTTTTTCTGCTCCCTCCTCCACCCAGGCTCTTTATAGCTGCCTTCTGGACAATCATTAAGCCTGAGGCAGCAACTAGGGAACCCAGTGTCCTGAGGGAGACAAGAAAACAGTAGATTACTGAAAGCCAAACTGGGGGAGGGGGAAGGGGGTCCCAGAGGGAGGCATGCCTGTCCCCAGGATTTCTGTCTTTCCCTCCTTTTCCATGCTTTCTTGCCTGTGAAACCAGCAGTGATTAAAGGCTCAGCCTAATTACTTTTGTCTGCATGAGCCCATGGGAGGCAGGGGTAGGATGAAAGGAGCTGAGCTCAGTATTGCCCTACTACTCCCTTAGTCAACTTTCTGACTCACTCAGGTTCAATGAGGGTTCTGAGTTGCCAGGCATCATGAAAGGTTTTTATGATCAGTCATGGTTTTATGCTCAGTCTCTTTCAATCAGTACACTAAAAACCCCACTTCTGAGCCTTCTAGAGCTGACTGACCCCAATGCTTAGCACACAATGGAGTATAACTTTCCTAATAGTTATGCCCTTAATCGTGGGAAACATTCCATGACCTCCTCATGGTGGTCATAGTGAACAATGCATGCACTTCCCTTACAATAATAAAGCTTAATAAATTAGGCCTGGTAAGAAATTAATAAAACAATTACAACAATGCACCACAATAAAAGTTTCCTAAAGCCTATTAATGGTTTATTTCTGGAATTTCCCACTTCGGCTGGCCTCAGTCACTGAAATGTGCAAAGCACATCAGTGGATAAGGGGAGCTAACTAGCTCCAGTAGTTGCAGAATTTTAGCGGGGGCGAATCCCTCAGTTCACTCCACAGTGACATATAGAAGGCGAGCTAAGAACTCAGGTCTGGGTGAGAGCCCTCGGAGATGCCTCTGGGTCCCTATTACCCTGCGACATTAGTCAGGCTTCGGTCCCGCGGGGGTGTGGGCACCGCAGCATGTCACCGCGGCTTTCCGCTCGTCTGCGAGGCCGCTGGAGCAGAAGGATTGGGCGCGAGGGAGCCGCACGTAGCCTCAGGAGGTCCCTCGCTTTGGTGGCCCTGGCTCGGCCTGTCAGGACCGGCGGGCAGCGCCGATCGGCACTTGCCCAGCACCCTGTGTCCTCAAGCCACCTGGGACACCCGACTCCGGGCTGGGAACTGCAGGTCCTGGGAACAGGAGCAGGAGAGCGGCGAGCCGCGGTAACAGAGCTCTGCAGCCACGAGGGTGCGGCGTCTGATCTAGCGCTGTCCCTGGCCTGGGGAACTGTCGCCATCCCGGAAGGGCGGTCACAGGGACAGCCTCCTCCGCAGTCGGAAGTCAGGGGAGCCCCAAGGCCCCAGACTTGCCCTCCGGCCCCGCCCTCGCTCGCATGCCACCCCTACCTGGCCGGAGACTTAACCCCACTAGGGCGGGGGCGGGGCTCGAGAAGGCTGGTGCGCACGCACGCACAGAGGTGGGAGGGACTCGGCTCCGCCTGGCGGCTGACTGCTGTCGGCCCTGGGATGAAGGCGTCATCCTGCCTGTCACGCTGCTGCCCCCTGCGTAAGGACAGCGACGCTTATAGGCTCAGCAGCACATGTCCAGTTTCTATAGAGTGTCTCCGTTTACCGTACACATTCAGAAATAATCCCTGTTTGTAGGAGCTTGGCATTCTCTCTAAGAAACAAATGCAGTCTTCAGCACAATTTGGAATTTTACGTCGTGATCAGGCTAATGGGAAAAGAGTCAAAACAATATAGCCCTAGTTCTTAAAAGACAGAATCCTGACGAAACTGGGTTCTTTTAAAATCTTTTTAATGGGTATGTATATGTTTATGGGGGGCGGGGTGAGAGCCTGTGCTACCAACCCAGGACTTAATTTTTTAAATTAAGAATTTCCGCTGGGCGTTGGTGGCACACACCTTTAATCCCAGGCCTTGGTAAGCAGAGGCAGGTGGATCTCTGAGTTTGAGGCCAGCCTAGTCTACAGAGTGAGTTCCAGAGCAGCCAGAGCTGTTACACAGAGAAACCATGTCTCAATAAACCAAAAAATCAAACAAAAACCCAAACAAACAAACAAACAAAAAGAGGCCAGCCTCATCTACATAGTGAGTTCGAGGTCAGTCAGATATGTGTAGTGAGATCCTGTCTAATGCAAACAAGAGCCCACTAACTCATCTCTCCTCTTCTCTTCCTTTCTGCCTTTATAGTTGAATTTAGGACATCTTGGAATTTCCTCTTATCACACTATCACACCGGAAAAAGACTGGAGATTTTTAAGTACTCCAGATTGGAGAGCAAAGATCTTTTAGAATAGTGAAAGCCAGAGAGGAAGAGGAGATAAAATGGGATTCTACTGGTGCTGAACATTTTTGTATTATTTTTATTTAAATTTTTTTTATTTTACATACTAACCCCAGTTCCCCATTCCTCTTTCCCACCCCAGTCCACTCTTCAGAGGGGGTAAGGCCTTCTTTGGGGAGTCTGGCATACAAAGCTGAGGCAGGACCAAGACAGCCCCCCCCCCCCCCCCCCCCCGCCCTGTATTAAGGTTGACCAAGGTATCCCACCATAGGGAATGGGCTCCAAAAAGCCAGTTCATGCACTCAGGATAAGTCCTGGTCCCACTGCCAGGAGCCCCCACAACATATCAAGCCATGTAACTGTCACCCACATTCAGAGGGCCTAGTTAAGTCCCATGCTGAGGGCTGGAGAGATGGCTCATCAGTTAAGAGCACTGACTGCTCTTGCAGAGGACCTGGGTTCAATTCCCAGTACCCACATGGCAAGTCACAACTGTCTGTAATTCTAGTTCCAGGGCACTGATACCAATGCACATAAAATAAAACTTAAGTAAATTTATAAAAACAAAAAGTCCCATGCAGGTTTCTTAGATGACAGTACATTGTGAGCTCCCACTAGTTCTGGTGGGTGCCGAACTTCTTTAATTCAACAAATATCAACTGAGCTGGGTGTTGGTGGCACATGCCTTTAATCCCAGCACTCGGGAGGCAGAGGCAGGTGGATCTCTGTGAGTTTGAGGTCAGCCTGGTCTACAAGAGCTAGTTCCAGGACAGTCTCTAAAGCCACAGAGAACACTGTCTCGAAAAACCAAAATAAATAAATAAATAAAGGCGTGCACCACCAACGCTCGGCTGAAGCCTGGTTTATAATATCAACTGAAGCCTGATTTATACCAGGCTCTGTGCTCTTAAGCAGAGACAGAACCAAGGACTGTAGTCCTTCAATAGCAAGCTCCAGGGCCTGGTGGCACAGGCCTTTAATCCTAGCACTTGGGGGGTAGACGGGGAATATGAGTTTGAAGACAGCCTGGTCTACAAAGCAAGTTTCTTTCTTTCTCTTTCTTTCTTTTTCTTTCTTTCTTAAGATTTAATTTTTTTTTTTTTTATGTATACAACATTCTGCTTCCGTGTATGGAAGCACACCAGATCTCATTACGGATGGCCATGTGGTTGCTGGGAATTGAACTCAGGACCTCTGGCAGAGCAGTCAGTGCTCTTAACCTCTGACCATCTCTCCAGCCCACAAAGCAAGCCCTAGGCTACGGTTCCTTTAGTATGTCTAAGGCTATAGATTTGACACAGGAGCCTGTGTGTGTGTGTTGGAATGGGAGATTCCCTTACTCAGTTTTGGAAGACAGAGATGGTTTAGCAATTGTGAATATATTCTAGAGCACCCACATGGGACAGCTCATAACCATCTGTAAGCAGCCCCTTTGGGGTCATCAGGCATCTGTACATATATATGTATACACACTCACACATATACATACAATTAAAGAAAAAATTTAATTGGGGGTGGAGGGATGACTCAGTGGTTAAGAGAGCTTTCTAGCCAGGCGTTGGTGGCACATGACTTTAATCCCATCACTCGGGAGGCAGAAGCAGGCAGATCTCTGTGAGTTTGAGGCTGGCCTGGTCTACAGATCGAGTTCCAGGACAACCTCCAAAACAATAGAGAAATCCTGTCCCGAAAAGCCAAAAGAAGAAAAAAAAGCTTTCTAGGAGTACTTTCTTCCAGAGGACCTGGGTTTGGATCATGTACCTAGGCTGGGTGGCTTACAATCATCTAGCTCCAGTTCTATGTGATCTAGCACCCTCTTCTGGCTTCTATAAGCACCTGCATGGACAAGTGGAAAGCAGAGACATGCACACATGTCTATGTGCACAGAAAAAAATGAAATTTTAAAACTCTGGCTTTTAAACTGGGTGATGGTGGCACCTGCCTTTAATCCCAGCACTTGGGAGGTGGAGGCAGGCTGATCTGTGTGAATTCAAGGCCAGCCTGGTATACAGAGCAGGTTCCAGGACATCCAGAACTGTTTCACAGAGAAACCCTGTCTCAAAAAACCAAAAAAACCCAAACCAAAAACCTAGAACTCTTTTAGGGCTAGAGAGATGGCTTAGTGGTTAAGAGCACTGGCTGCTCTTGCAGAGGACCAGGGTTCAATTCCCAGCACCCACATGGCAGTTCACAACTGTCTTTAACTCCAAGATCTGACACCCTCACACAGACACACCAATGCACATAAAATAAAAAAAAAATTCAAAAAATCTGGCTTTTATTCCATGTTAAGATAAATCTTAAAAAATAAAACACAAGGGGCTGGAGAGATGGCTCAGAGGTTAGGAGTACTCTCTGCTCTTCCAGATGTCCTTAGTTCAATTCCCAGCAACCACATACATGGTGGCTCACAACCATCTGTAATGAGATCTGGTGCCTTCTTCCTGCCTGCAGGCATACATGCAGGCAGAGCATTGTATACATAATAAATAAAATTTAAAAAAATAAATAAAACACAAAAACTCTTTATTCATCAAACGTGAGATGTAGGGACAATTAAGTTCTCCCCATCCGTGTTTATGTAACTACCCTGTACCTACTACTCAGATTAATATGGGAAAGTTGCAAACCTACTTCAAAGTTTCAAGAATTAACTTCTCAACAAATGTTAACACTGTAAAGTTTACCTATTGTCTCTGCATAAACATACATAAATATGCCGATTGTCAAGCCATTTGAAAGCTAGTTGCTGGCATCATTAAACTCCAATTTCAATTTGGGGCTGGATAGATGTAAAAACAAAGACACTCTCCCATACAACCACATAATCACACTCAACACACATACACGTAAGTCATGAGTGTGTCAGAAATGCATACTGGCAGGTGGTGTTGTTGCATACCTTTATCCCAGCACTCAGAAGGCAGAAGCAGGTGGATTTCTGTGAGTTCGAGGCCGGCCTGCTCTACAGAACAAATTCTATAAATGGCCAGGGTTCCATAAGAAACCCTTTCTTGAAGAAAAAAAAAGGGGGGGGGGAGCAAAACACAATTTATAGAAAAGAATATTTTATTGAAACAGTTTCTCAATTAACAATGGAACAAAGTACAATTTGATTCAAACCTGTCTAACCAGCCTGAACTGCTAATGAAAGAACTCAAACACACAGGAAGGGAAGGGGACTATATAGGACCTTTAGGTCTCTCTGCCAATGTGGCAAAAAGGGGAGTAGGGTGGGAGGGGGGAAGAAAAGACAAAATGACTGACATACCAGGTTTGCTTTGTCCCAGAAGTGGGGTAGCCCTAGCTCCTGCTACAGGTGCAATACTGGAGGACAGGCACTCTAGACATGGGCATCATGGGTAAGAGGCTTCCCCTCCTAGCAAGTACACTGGGGAGTTGAACCATGACTCTCTTCTTTACCCACAAAGCTTGCCTGAGAGTGAGGTGACATTTTTACATTCACACCATGGTCTCTAGTCCCTCAGAGTCTTGGAAAAGGGGCTCACAGTAGATAGCACGTTTTTGGTCAGCCCAGGGGGAAGCAGGAAAGAGCAAGAGAGAAGGGGTAGGTGTCAAAGGAACTGGGGATAAGGATTCCAAGTGCCTGCAAGATACTTGCACCCTTGCCAACCACTTCCGCACTTTCCTTGGCCCCAAAACCCACAGTAGGGGCTACAAGGCTTTCACATTCTCTCCTTCCACTGACAGTGCAGCCCCTTCTTACTTGCTCCAGCCACCAGGGGGCGCATGAACCATAAGAACATATTTACTCTACACAGTCCGGATGATGAAAGGCTTTGGGCTAGAAGACTACAGCCCAATCTGTACTGGGAAGGCAAAGACAGACAGAAGAGCCAAGGAGGAAGGGCAGGGGAAAGAGAAGACACAGAAGAGAAAAAGAGGCACTGGGAAGCCAAAGGTGGTGATGAGGCTCTGTAGACACTGGCCCAAACAGGACACTGATTTTGTGGAACAGCAAAGAATGAAATGATACTCAGAGAAGACTGGGCACTCTAGTGTC